CCCCCCACCACACATGCAGTTGGTTACCCCTCTTATTGTGCATTCTGGGCAGCGCCCTCAGATCTGCCCCTTCCTTCCCGTTCCCACTCCTGCTACATTTGGTTGGACCTTTTCTCACCTCTGCTGGGACTTGTGCAGTAGTCTTCTCCTGACTAATCTCACCCCTCTCCCGCATCACCTTCAGTGTCCCTGTCAGCACCATGAGTGGCAGTCCCGGGGAGCTGAGGGCATCAGAAAACAGCTGGGCCAATATCAGTGAGGGAAACACACACACACAGGCGCAGGGAACAGACCTCCCAAAATAGTTTGAATAAAGTGTCTTCCCCACCACCACTCCTGGGGAGCCTACACTTTTATACCCAAAGAATGCATCCGGGCTGACCCCTGTGCCGTAGGTCCTGCCCAGGGTGACCAAGAGAAAACAAGGGCATGTTGAGACCCCGCAGCTAGGCCCGGGGCCCCGCAGAAGCCTGGGGCACATGGTGCGGGTTCCTCTCCAGGAAGGAGCCCCACGCAGAGGAACAGGCGGAGCTGCATCCTGTGACCACAGGGGGGCCCCCTTCCAAGGCGCCTTCCATCGGCCGGCTCAGGTTCACCCACCTGCCTTAGGAGCTTTTCCCAATTATTTTTCTCTCCTTCTTGATTAAAAACACTATTCTCGTTATCAGGAAACTTATAAAACATTATTGCCATTACAAAAAACGTTAAGTTCGAAGGAGTTAGGAAATGGGTAAAAAATGGGCCTGCGGTTTCACTGGTTTTTTTGGAAAAAAGACTCCTTAGACTCTATGCTTCCGAACTTGTCATTTTAGACACACACGTACTCGTGTCAACAAATAAAAATGGGACCATTCGGGCCGGCGTCTCTTAAAATATCAGGCACGTCTTCCTCTACCAAGTTCTTCACCAAAATCATTTTAAACGACGGTGTTGGGCGCCCTGGGCATTCCCTTAGAAATGCTTTACAGGCAATAAACCGGCCTCGAGGTCCGGCGGCTGCGATCCCATTGTTGGGGGAGTTCTTTCCGTTTCAAACCAGAGGCGGACGCGAGCTGCGGCTGCCCCGAAGCGGCAACACAGACGGGCCCGCACCCCCGGCGGACCCAGAGCGCGGGGACCACGC